AACTATTTTGAATTCTTTGATTTCAAATTCTATAATTCTAAAAGGAATATACAAATCACTTGATTTTAAAAGGAACTAACCATATTTTTGATAATTTTGCTTACATGTATTTCACTTCAGTACATTCCAATTAAATATTTCAGTCATCATCAATAATTTTTCAACTTCCAAATATAGTCAACTTAATTTAGTTAATATTAACTTTATTTTATTTTATGACGATATCATTAAAATGATCCAATTGTTGAAATTAATCAAAGAAACTCAATGAATGGCCTGATTATTGAAGATCATTTTATCAGTTTGTCTTTTAATATAGGGAAAATGACTTGGTAAGGTAATTAGTTTTTTGGTATGTTCACATCTGGGTAACTATCTTTTTTTTTTTACACATCTAGGTAACAAACTTGTTGGAAGTATTCACATATGACCATTATGACTAACTGTAGCAGATCACATATTAGATGTGAACACTTTCAACAAGTTCGTTACCTAGATGCGTACAAAAAATATAGTTGCCCAAAAATGAACAAAACGAATATTAAGAGTAGATTACATGAATGGTCCCTGTGGTTTGGGGAAATTTATGTTTTTGGTCCCTAACTTATTTTTTTAAACTTAAATTGTCCCTACTATTTATTTTTGTTGCACGTTTGGTCTTTGTCTTACCTAAAAAGACTATTATGCCCTTATTAATTTATTTTTTAATTAATTTTCTAATTTATGTATTTATTTTTTTTATATATTTTAAAAAAATTAATTGACCTCGTATATCTGTATCTCTTCACCATCTCATCTTCCTCCCATCCTATATCTATATCTCCTTACATGTCTGTATCTCCTCACCATCATATCCATCATCCTCCATCTTTAGTGATATCAACGTATTCACAATCCCTTCTTTTTCAGTCATTCAACTCCATTGAATCAACACCACAACCCACTAAAGATGAAGAGACAGTGGGTTATGGTGTTGGTTCACCAAAGTTGAAGGATAAAAAAAGGATGATGAAAACAGTGATGTCACTAAAGATGGAAAAGAAATAAAAGTTGAGGAGGATGAGAGATGGGATGGTGACTGGTGGGACTTAAATTAAATTTCTTAAATTTGATTTCAGGTTTACAGTGAGGAGATAAAGATATGTGGAGTCTATTAACTATATATATATATTATATATATATATATATATATATATATATATATATATATATATATATATATATATATATATATCAAATAAATACATAAATAAGAAAATTAATTAAAAAATAAATTAATATGGGCACAATAATCTTTTTAGGTATGACAGTGACCAAACGTATATCAAGAATAAACAGCAGGGACCATCGAAGTTAAAAAAATAAGTTACAGATAACAAACATAAATTCCTCCAACCCACAGGACCATTCGTGTAATCTACTTTTACTTTTCGTTTTATTTATATTTTGATAACTATTTTTTCTGTATATATCTACCTAATGAATTTGTTGAAAGTTTTCACATCTAGGATGTGATTTGTTATAACCGATCATAATAATCATATATGAACACTTTCAACAAATTTGTTACCTAGATCTGTAAAAAAAAAAAAAAATAGTTACCTAGAGATGAACATATCAAAAGTTAATTTACATTGCCAAGTTATTTTCTCTTTAATATACATAGAGATAAATTATATTTTAAAAAGTGTATTTTATAACAATATAAAACTTAAGTTGTCGACAAATCATCACCAAAAAAACAAGGAAATTTGGACAGCAGTGCTTGGGTGGTAATAAAAAAGCGAGGGACCGAGTGTCTGTAAAGCATGAGCGATCAGGTAGCCGTTAAGCCTTCACCTGCGCGAATTTTACGCTTAAAACGCGACTACTTCTTCCAGCTCATAATTTACTTACCCAGAAATATATATATATATATATATATATATATATATATATATATATATATATATATATATATATATATATATATATATATATATATATATATATAGGGTTAGGTTCATGTGAGACGGATTTTTTAAAATTATTTTTAGAATATGTACAGTGTAATATTCTATTTAGAATATTTCATGTATTTTTCAAAAAAAAAAAAGAATTTTTTTATTTTTTTTAATTAATTCAAGTTCCGAAAATAATATTTAAAATTTTTTTTTTTTAAAATTTTTGCATTTGTTTTGCATTTTAAAATTATATTTTAGAATATGTCAGTGTAATATTCTATTTAGAATATTTCACATATTTTTCAAAAAAAAAAAACGAGATTATTATTTATTTTTTTTTTAATTTTTTTTAGTTAATTGAAGTTCCGAAAATAATATTTAAAAAACAAATTTTTGGATTTTTCAATTTATTTTGCATTTTAAAATTATTTTTAAATTTGGTCTCAATTAAAATGGTCTCAAATGAACCAGATTCTATATATATATATATATATATATATATATATATATATATATATATATATATATAAATATATCTTTACTATCTTATAAAAGAAATCCCACTATTTCTAAAAATAGATTGAATATAATAATAATATTTTTTTAAGACGTTCAAATCATTAAGCTAATAGTACAAGTAGTCATCAATAAAATACTATTAAATTTTAACACGTGTTTTGAATCCTTATATTTCTCAACAAATTCTATCTCCTTCCCTGAATTTCGGATAATTCAAAATTTGAAACCATCAGAAAATACATGTTGATTCAATTATCTCTCCTGCAGATGGCTCTTTCTTAACAGGTTTTTATTTTAATCCTTACTTGTAATTGATTTCATCATTTTTAACTTTTTGTATTTTTATCTTATAAATATATTAGGTGAAGGTTTTATTATATCAGGTTTGTACCTAAAAAGGTTTTTACTATGTTTCTTTAATGTGGTGGCTTTGCAGGTTCAAAGAACTCAACCAAGAGGGCCAGTTAGAGCATTGTATTATCATTAGTTTGTATATTTTGACATCTTACTTTTACAATAAATAATGGTTAAACACAAGATTTAACATGATTAAGATAGTTTGTATATTTTTCATCTTATTTAGTCTAAAAATGAAACATTTTTCATCATTGGTCCTTATAATATCAAGTTTCATCACATGGACTTCCTGATTACGGTGATTATTGTCTTTATTATAAGGTTCTATATATATTTTGTTCAATATTTTAAGGTTTCGAGAACCTAAATCAATATGAATCCTTGAATTACATACCATCGTTGAAAATGTTTTAATTTGTGACCAAACTTAATTTAAAATCACAATAAACAAGTTGACACCTGAATATTTTGGCCTTCTCAAAGGCCTATTTATCGACTTTTGAATCACAACACCTGATATTCTAAAGGTTTATTTTTATAAACTATTATTTATATATTTTAGCATTTTACTTAGTAGGACATTAAATGAATAAAGGAATTAAGGAAAACGGGAAAAAAAAGAGGACAATAAACAGTACAAGTGGTTTGGGTATGTATAAATGGAAGTAATAACCATTTAGGGGGTGTTTGGCAAAAAAAGCTTATTGCTTATTAGTTTATTAGCTTATAAGTTAATAAGTAAGTGTAAGGTAACTTATGAAAAAATGACGTATTAGAAGTTCCCCACCGGAATAAGTTATTTTAATCCAAACACTTTTTTAACTTATAGTGATGTGGAACCTAATAAGTTGTTTTAAAAAAGCTTAGCCAGACACTCTAAAATGGTATGGTAATGCTCTTGAAAAATAAATGTTGTTTTAACTTATAGTGATGTGGAACCTAATAAGTTGTTTTAAAAAAGCTTAGCCAGACACTTATAGTGATGTGGAACCTAATAAGTTGTTTTAAATAAGTTATTTTAATCCAAACACTTTTTTAACTTATAGTGATGTGGAACCTAATAAGTTGTTTTAAAAAAGCTTAGCCAGACACTCTAAAATGGTATGGTAATGCTCTTGAAAAATAAATGTTGTTTTAACTTATAGTGATGTGGAACCTAATAAGTTGTTTTAAGAAAGCTTAGCCAGACACTTATAGTGATGTGGAACCTAATAAGTTGTTTTAAATAAGTTATTTTAATCCAAACACTTTTTTAACTTATAGTGATGTGGAACCTAATAAGTTGTTTTAAAAAACCTATTATGGTATGGTAATGCTCTTGAAAAATAAATGTCATTTAATATTCATTTCTCGAAGTAAACGCAAAATGGTTTTCACTCTAAAGAGATTAAATTATTCGTCGCTCGCCGCTTTGCGCGGGTAGACGGCTAGTATATATATATATATATATATATATATATATATATATATATATATATATATATATATATATATATATATATATATATATATATATATATATATATATATATAAAAGAAAAAACAAAATTTCCCTCTAATTTCTACATTCATGATTCAACAATGAGAATGAGGGTCCAACATACTGGGTTCCACGATCACACTTTAGTCCCTTCGATTATTCATATAATAATCCATGTTCTGGACGTTCTTAGCTAATATGATTTTTTATTGCATCTATTTTTTCAAAAAACTTTATCCGATTTTCAAACCCTATGGTCTGACCGATTGAAGTTATGCCTGTCTCGTTCGATTTGGTATAAGAATCATTCAAAGTCTTTGGCTATGGTGGAGGACGCACGCTTTGATCATCTTCTGTTCCACAAAAACTCTCTGGAATTGGAGATAATTTTACTCCAGGTGATAGAATTCAAAGATGATGAACTGGCTAAATTGACGCGGTGAGTTATTATTACTTTTTTTCATTGAATCAGTCATCTGCTTTAGTTCGATTTTTTAACTAATTGCATTTTTTATACTCATCAGAGAGTATATAATGAAAAAGATCACCCTGGAATATGATTTTGGGGAACTGGGATTCCTATTCCATGGGTTTGATTTAAAATTGAAGCCAAGTTCAACAATTCGTTGATTCAAGTTCCAATTAAAGCACGGTATGTGTTTTCTGAAATGCCAATCTGAAGTGTTTGTTTTTGATTTGATATGGGTGATAATGGAGATATGAAAGATTATGAAGATTTATCAGCTGGTTTAAATTCGAAATCTTTCATGGAGTCTCATTTAGATAAGATGAAATTTCCATCTTCACCAACAACTCCAACTTCAGTTCTCCCAGATTATCCCGCTATTGAATCTTCTGAAGATTGCTCGATTGTTGCCTTTTCTACACCTTTTCTGTTGCCTCTACGTGTTAATGCCATAAAGAAACTAAGTCCCATTGATGTAAAGCGCTTGTCTATTCACATGTATTCTCATGTAGCTCAACAAGTAGCTAACACCTTCGATCAGATAGAAGAATCCAAGAAGAACTCTGAATTAACTAATGATTATGTGGTGCTGGTTGCCAATCCACCAACGCCACCACTACTATCACCTTCACCACCATCACCACTCCCACCAGTATCACCTCCTCCACCTCCACCACCCCCTATGAGTACAAGTCGTATACAGACACCACATCCACTTCCTCAAACACCTCCTCCCCTTCCTCCACCTCCACCTCCGCCTCCCTCAAGCACAATTCAAACAGTGACACCACAGCAACTCCCTCCACCACCACCACCACCAATGGTTTCACGAGATGCAACCATAACAAGACTATCCCTTGGAAAACAAGGTCCACCTCCACCACCACCACCTCCCATGACACCAAGAACCATCCCTCCGCCACCACCAATTCTACAAGGAAAAGGCGGTGCTCCACCACCACCTCCTCCTATTGGTGGCACCCAATCTCTACGAGCTAAAGCAACTACAAAATTAAAAAGATCCTCTCAGATGGGAAGTCTCTATCATCTTCTCAAAGGAAAAATTGAAGGGTCTAGTTTGGATGCTAAATCCTTAAAGAGAAGTAGCAGCAAAGTTGGAGCTGGTTCTTCTGGTGGAAGTGGAAAGCAAGGAATGGCTGATGCACTAGCAGAAATGACAAAAAGGTTATAATAATAAATAAAATAAAAAAGCAAAAAGTATTCTAGAAATATCATAAACATCTCTTCCTTATGTCCCTTTCTGTTCTTTCAGATCATCTTACTTCATTCAAATTGAAGAAGATGTCAAAAACTATGCAAATTCAATCAAAGAAATGAAAGCAGCTCTAAGTTCATTCCAAACAACAAACATGGCTGAGCTTATCAAGTTCCACACATATGTTGAATCACATATGGAGAAACTTACTGATGAAACCCAGGTTTTAAACATTACATTTCATCTATATTCAAAATTTTCATTTTTGTTATCTTTAATATTTATCATAATCATATCGCTAATACCCATTACAGGTTCTTGCAAGGTTTGAAGATTTTCCTAGTAAAAAGTTAGAAGGATTAAGAATGGCTGCAGCCCTATATGCAAAGTTAGATACAATAGCTACTACTTTGCATAATTGGAAGATAGAGTCTCCAGCAAACCAACTCATTGATAAAGTCGAAGCTTACTTTAACAAGGTAAATAAAATAAATTTCTAGTCTTATAAAATCGGTGTTTAAATGTATTACCAGAAAGTTTTTTTTCTTCCATTTCCAAAGATTAGAACTTTCATATGCAGATTAAAGGAGACTTGGATACTCAAGAACGAACAAAAGACGATGATCTCAAGAAATTTAAAAGTCAAAACATCCATTTTGACTTTGGGATCCTTGTAAGAATTAAAGAATTGATGGTGGAGGTTTCTTCAAATTGCATGGAGTTGACATTAAAGGTACTTTCTAGTTTCTACCACTCAACTTACAACCTTAAAAGGGAATTTTGTAAAAAAATATGGGGATTTGATCTCGTCTCAGCAACCGCAGTGTGGGAGTTTTAAATCCAATGTGGGATGGCCTCTGAATGACATTGGTCTGACTGTATACCTAATTTACATCTCACGTGATGCTCTGACAGTGTGGGCCAGCTCAAGATTGTTTAAAGAATATGATTTTTATTTGAACTACAGGAAGCAAGAGAACCGAAAGGAAAAGAACATGAAAAAAGTGGGGTGAAAAGTTCGGGGAAAATACTTTGGAGGGCTTTTCAGTTTGCATTTCGGGTGTATACATTTGCAGGTGGACAAGATGATCGTGCGGATAGTTTAACAAGGGAACTTGCAAAGGAAATAGAGACCCACCCTTAATTTCTAAAAAGAATTAAACCTTTCATTTTGAGACATGCCAAAATAGCACCATATATTTGAAGGTTTGGAAAGATATATACGGGTTTGGGATCCTTTCAAGCTTAGCAACTAAACAAATATCTCGCACATAAATCACTACTACAACAATAATTATTTGTATCGACTAAAAAGTCTAAATATGACACGATTAACCAATGGTGCCAAATGGGGCGGAAATGGATGCAAGACATTCACATGGTTGCATGTCAACAAAATAAGAAACTAAAATCGTGTCAAAAGTAGTAATTTAGGGAGAAATGGATGCAAACGCTTTATATAACTCGGTTTACAACCATGTCCCATGAACTCTATGTGACATGGTGCTTTCTATAAAATCGTGTTTGATGCAGTGTTATATTACCCAATGCTAATATATAACGACATCAAGTAAAAACTAAATGACATGGATCCATCTAGAAACCACGTCTTGTAATGAGTTGTATCAATAACTGGTTTTTGTTAAACTAATAATATCTCGGTTTATGTTAACAACATACAATTAGGTACTATTAGCAATCACATCCACAAATACGATGAGCCACTAAATAAAACAAAACAAAGAATCATGTACAATATTCAAAGAATATCATTTCTATAGAAATATGTTTACATTTCAGAGTGAACATATTCTTAAAAGACACAGTATTGAGCATACATATAGCAATATGCTTTCAATCTGTACACATACTGGCAATATACTTTTCATTTTATACACATGACAGTATGATTGGCTGTCGTCAACGCAATAAAAAATAAACATACGAGACCTAGTTACTTAGTATAAATCCGGTGAATCCATAGAGATTTCATGCATGGCTAAATTATATATTAATTTTGAGTTGTTAACAAAAAGTAGATGTGAAAAATTCGTGATTTCAATGATCATACAAATCCAGTTTAAGAGAAATTACATGGATTTTGAAAACAAAAGAACACTAAATCGAGACGTGAATGTTGAAAGAAAACAACTTTTAGATTGGTTATTTAGATGATTAGGTTTACCACATTTATCTTCCTAATAACATAGACATAATTAAGGTTTATGAACATGAAGCAATCCAATTTTTGGATTCCTGCATATTGTTCCAACTTCCAATTAACTGCCATAGTTCATATGTATGATGTATAGATTAGGCATATATAATTATTGGTTGGAAAATATGGTGTCTTACATTTAAAATTGTTATAATGTTTACGAATCAGTCGTCTCAATACGGGTTATATTAAATGTTACCTCATTTAACCGTCTTAAAACCTACACTACTCCATGATGGAAGCGGAACATGAGAAGAATTTAGAAAAACACTTGAAGTATTCAAATGTGAAAGAGTAAAATGTACGAACCTTAAAGTGCTAGAGTTTATTGGAAAATAATGTAGGGTGCATTTTGTACATTAAAATATCACGTTATTATTTGTGTGTTTGTAGTAAATTATATGTAATTGGTGCAATTATGACATATAGTACCATTACCTTCTTATAATGACTAATTTAGGTTCATATTTGTATCCTACATAATTGAAGAGTACTTTTATGAGTTTTTGCAAGGACCGTGTTTCTATGTCACATGTCTAATGTGACTTTGTTTGAGAATAATAGTCTCATAAGCCTTTGTTTTTTCAAAGTGGCATTCGATTTGGGTGACTCTTCAGTTGGCTACTATTATAAGTTGTAATTTAGTTAAAATTAAGGTTCTGTAGGAATTAAATCATTTGATTAGAGTGATTTATGTTGTTTATTTATTGGCATCTTTAATGAAAGTTTAAGAAAAAAACATTAGTTGTATAGAAAATGTCATTTATTCCAAAGTTAACGGTCTATCATGTAAGAGTACAAACATGTAGAAGAAAATTATAATTCTCACTTTTTTCATAATATTAGCTTAAGATGAAAGCCTACCTATTTCACAACTTTGAGGAGAATGGAACTCAAGCAACTTAGGGCTTCAATTTTGGTTTAATAAGCTAGAAACGGTTAACCACTTAATCCGGACACAGTGATTTAATTAGTTGATCTGAAGAACCTGGCTTAACGGGATAAGACACTATTACCTATTTGTCATTTTTTCCTCCTAATCCCTATCATGTTAAAATTGATAAATAATTTAATATATTCAAGAAAAAATCTAAGAATAAAAAGGTCAGTTAGTCTCATTGGAAAAAAAAAACACTTTATATATACTATATTTAGATTTAGATAATACTATATTTAGAGAAGATAGTTTTGGAAAGGTTTGCCACATAAAGATAAAATTAGTGATTAACAGTATCACTTTTTTGTTGCTTTTGATATTGTTTCCTGCATCTCTAGCACTAAAAGTTCAAAGATCTTTTATGTATGCATATGGGTTGATACTAAAAATTAAAATTCTTGAAGTGACTTGAAATGATACTTAAATGTCGAATTATTTTTTTTTATCTTACAATTTATAGATTTTTCAATGATTTTGATCTTGTAAGCATCTGGTTGATACCAAAAATATAAAATTTTGAAATGGCGTACTTAAAAGCTTCACATCCAAAAGCTATTCAACACGTCCTTAATTCATGTTCGACACGTAGTTGTTGAAAGATTTTGAAAACTTTTAGCTTTGGGTTAAAAAAAAATCTTCAAATCTAAAAGTTACTTCAACTATATCAATCGATTATATAATTTATTAATCTTCATCTAAAAAATAATAAATAATTATTATATGAATAAATAAATCTAAACTAATATCATACAGTGAAAAGTCTTAACATTCGGAATATCTAAACTAATAAATCTAAACTAATATGTCTTAACATTCGGAATATTTAAATAGTGTTATGTTTAGGTTCTTACAAAAGTGAAAAGTCTTATTCACTTTATTGGTAAAAAAACATTATTTTCATTATGTTTGGTGAACTAGTTGATAGCTGAAAAATTGTAACATCCGTTTTTCAGGTATGATTCTTTTGAGTTTAAATCATTTAATTTGGCTTGAACACGATGTAGTGATGGAGGACAATGACATAACATTTCCAGTATAATGGACGCACATTCACAAGGCACCACGACGCGGTGAGCTGCTTTCCACGACATGGTGGCGGTTGGGGTTCAAAACCCTAGATTCTAGGATTAATGCCTTATTTAAAGGCACTAGCTCCTAGCGTTGCCTCATTTGGTAGCCTCCAACCTCTGAGATCATATTCCACAAAAACCCTAGCCTCATTATGTGTGTTTTAAGTGTGGGAGCCCATTTTGTGAAGGTTAAAGGAAGAAGGAACATCTCTTGTTGTTTGTATGCTTGGTTACAACTTAGATTCATCATCTTCATCACCTTTCTGACCATTTGGAGGTATAAACTTGCTATCTTGTTCATTACGTCTCTATATCTATTATTAAGTCACTTTATGAGCTTTTTACTCCAAATATTCTTATTCTTGGAGTTTGAGTGAACTCTAGGACCCTTGAGTGCATTATATGGCTTCTGGACCATATGGTGGTTAGGATGACGGCTTGCATGACTTAGTTTAGTGTCCATGCTTTTGGTGTATCCATTACGAACTTAGGTTTAGAGTTTTGACTTGTTGAGATGACATAATGGATAAAGTTGTAAACTTTATCCATTATGGGCTTTCGAATGGTCAAATATGAGCTTTTGATCACTAGGGACTAAGGGTTAAGAGCTTAATCAATGAAGTTATTGAAAACAGTTCCCACGATGTGGTGAGTTGCTTGCCACGACGTGGTGGCTAGTGTTACCGCGACTGTTTTGGCGTGAAGTCACCACGACATGTCCATGGTGTTAGATATGGCGTGTTCACTTGATCGTTGACCTTTTGACTAGGTTGACTTTTTGGTCAACATGAGGGTCTTAGGCTGTAGACTGAGGGTTTTTCCCTAATTGATGTATAAGTGGTTGGTAGTGCCAATCCTTTCCTCTATGCGAGCTGTAGTGATTATTTATCATCTATGAGGTGATTTTTCTCATTATACTTGTAACATCCTAAAATCGAGACCCAATTTGTTTCCTTAATTATATTCCTTATGAAAATAGTTTACGGAAAAGGTCGTTGTTATAATTTCAAACATCAAGTCACAAATCACAAGTCTCGAAAACCATAACATCAAATAGTAAAATGTCAGAGTACAATCCCAGGGTTCTCAAAGTAGAAATCATGTGTGTACGATACGCTGCTACCATGCTGGCTCCTTACCCTTAGTTGAAGAGGTACCTGAAAATAAAACTAAAAACTGTAAGCACGACGTTTAGTGAGTTCCCATATCATACCACATACCATATAATCATACATACTGCTGAGCAATTATGGGGTGACCGACCTACCCATGTCAAGCCATTCTGGGATGCTGACCTACCCATGTCAAGCCATTCTGGAGTGCTGACCTACCCGTATCAGGCCATCCTAGGGTGCCTGCCTACCCTCCGATCTATCTCACCTGGTCATGGGGACTATTTTACCCATTACTACTATCACATAATAAGATATCATAAACATGCTTTCAGACATATCTGGGGTGTTCGACCTACCCTTCGGTGATTCCCCATGTGAATATCGACTCTCCCCGACTCCTCAATACATACACATCAAATTTTCTAAGTTATCAATTCATACTCATAACCTTTACAAGGGTCACTTAAATCCAAGTCAAAGTCAATGTCAGAACCTTGGTCAAAGTCAACTTTTGTCAAAGTCAACATCTAGTTGACTCAACTAGCCGAGTTGGTCTGCCAACTCGCTGAGTCCCCAAGTCCATAAAATGCCATAATGTCGTCCCTACTCGTCGAGTTTAGCAAGAGCTCAACGAGTTCGCCTTTAACAACACATCAAATTATCTTCAATCGACTCGCCGAGTTCGTACTTGAACTCATCTTCATTCGTATGAAGGTGTTCAGTCTATGACTCACCGAGTTCCCCTTGAACTTGTCGAGCCCATATTCATACGGTTGGGACATTGCCTTGGACTCGCCGAGTCTGTTCATCCACTCGCCGAGTCCTTTGATCTTCAAGTCTATGATAAACCCCTAACAGGCTAAGTGTTGCTTCCACTCAACCACAGACCATTACCTGAAGAATTTTTGGGGGGAAACTGTGACCCGACTCACTGAGTCACTTAAGTGACTCGCTGAGTCCATCTTAGTCCAAAACTAAACAGTCGATTACAATGAGTCTTAATGCATCAAAACCATAGATCTGACCAGCTAGGGTCCCTTTTATACATAAAGTTCCAATCTTGACGTCCATACATG